ATATGTAATATACCTATATTTGCTTCTATTCTTCTACTACAACATACCGGGGAAACAATCAACAGCGTGCCTACGTCGAGCCCCTAAGTCCCTAAGTCCAACAGTTTTCAACACCTGCGCCGCAGAGGTCTGAACGATTCTTCATAGTATTCCCGAGGCATCCGTGATGTTTACTCAGGCCCCTACATTAAACCCTATGAAACCCTTGTAGAATTTGTATGACGACCTTCTAAGACTATTAAGTAGTGTCCAAGGCCCGTCTTCCTGGCCGATCGACGAGCAGCTGGGATGGCGTCGTCGTTCTAGGCGTCTTCCGGGGTGACAGATTTGTTTTAAAAGGGGTTTTGGGGTTCTAGGTTTATAGGGGAGCTTAGGGTACATCTGTGGCCCAACAACCTACCTGTCAAAGCGATATATATATATATAATATATATATATAATATTTAATATATATATATACAGAAACCATAATACGGAACCCGAAAAGGTAGGGCTTGTTTCGGCCGCAGGTAGGGCTTATGGTAATGAGTGTTTGGGGCTCATTCCGGGTTTGGCTGCTTGGACTTTCTGAAGATTGCTAGCGACATGCTTGCTTGGGGTTTAGGGTTTAGGGTTTAGTGTGTGAGTCTCTGCTCTCGACTGTTGGGCGCCCAGACCCCTTCGGACAATCTCTTTCCCATAGTACTTGGTGCTATGGAGCCTCGGGGCAACTAGCAAAAGCTTACAACCCACACCCAACATGCCAAACCCTGAGCCCGAAACCTCAAGACCCTCACCACTACGCCCCGACCAAAAACCCTACAGCACCCTTACAGGAGTCCTTTCTAGGAACCCTTAAAGGAGCTCTAGACCCTGAACCCCAGCACCTACGATCCTGCAGGTGCTTTGACCCTGGCCCTGCTCATGATCGTAGTCGTGGCCTTGGCGCCTTGGGGTCATGCAGGGTCTAGGTTCTGGGATTTAGGGCATAGGGGGCTAGTGCTGGTGTGGAGCTCAGAATATGTCGCAACAACCTCCCCCAAAGCCCCTCTATAATGAAACTGTTGTACGAAAAATGTACGATAGCCTTGCTAAAAGTTCTACGGCCCCTGTACCGAAGTCCTGTTTAAAGCCACATACAACCCGTAACAACCCCCCAGAATACCCAATGATGATCCTGAACGCCCCTACATTACTTGGATCATGGGACTTAGTAACTAGGGTTATACATAAGGTAACTATGGCTACAACTGCTGATAACTCCCATTGAGGTACCTATAACTTTCCTTGCGAAGTCCCATGATCCTTCAAGTAGTTATCTGGAGTTCACATCTGCCTTTCTCGTCCTACTCGCTTTCGGCTGATGTCTTATAGGAGATTCGGCCTGTATGCTTCAAGAATGAGAGGACGGAGGAAACAGGGTGTTAATCAGGGTTTTGGGCTTCGGACTTAGTACGTAGACTAGAAATGGGGCACTCATTGGCAAGATGTCGCATATAAGGCAGCTATAACCCGTCGCAAGCTACTTGCTAAGTCCCCTAGGCCTTTGAGTGCTTGGCTATAGATGAGTCTTGGGGGCATGCAGAGTCGACATCTATAGCTTCAGCTGCCACGGTCAGTTGTAAGAGCCGTGCGAACAGCTGATGCCCTAAACGATATATCATGAGTAGACACATATCCGTACATATATATATATGTATATATAATAGACATGTACATACACACAAACACACACACACACACTCACTCCCACTAGACTTCACTGACTGCCGGTCTGTTGCACACATATAGGAACAACCGCATATTGGCATATGATCGTTTCATTCCGCAAGCAGGACCTCTGTATGGTCTTTGTGCTTCAGGTTTCTGTGCACGTGCTCTTTCATTGACGTTGGCCTAGTCAATCCTTCTTCCCTTGTACACAGCTGTTGGTTGGGTTCATACGGACCTTATCGTTCTCAAACGGTGGTCTGGTTTTGCAGTAGGGCCCCGCACGGCAGGATCCAAAGGTCCGCCCTTAGCCCACGGTCTCGGGCATCTGAGGATGCTGGCAAGTCCTTGGAGTTTTCCGTGCCGTCTCCCTTCCACGTTTATGCCGTAGGTTTCGGCGAATGCTGCTTTGCGGAGGATCGAACTCGTACCATCATTATGATTATCATTATTGATATTGTTGTTAGCAATATTATTGTTGTTGTTAGTGTGGTTATTGTTGTTTATCAGTAATTCTGGCACGTGCCAACACAAGGCCTTGACGCCCGTGTTTGCTAACCATGGGCAATGCAGAATGTTGAACAGCTCGAATGCCCCGAAGTTTAACGGTTCATGATAGGGGGGGGGGGTAGGAATATATGGTACAAGCGGCGGCGGCGGCGGCGGTGGTGGTCTTGGTGGTGGTGCTGATCAGGAGATGCCAGCGGTGATAATTAGTACTAGTCGTGGTGGTACTTGTGTAAATGGTTCGCTCTGGTTGGAATGATGCTGATGATGATCATTGTGATGTGGGTGAAGAAGATCAGATAATGCCGTGAGCATAGGGTGACGAGGAAGACTTGGTCACGGATGGCAGAGATTGGTTTGCTAAGGAGGGCCGTTGTACGTCTCACTATGCCGATTGCATCCTCCTTCTAGCGATTGCATGGATACTTGTCAAACAAAAATGCTTCATTTCATGGTCATGAGTCATGGCGTTGAGAACGGGCATGTCGATGCTGTAGGCCAGGTCACGGGGTCAGATGAACATGATTCCAAGCCTTTCGTTTAGGGTTTAGGTGGCTTTCGTGACAATGCTTGGAATGGTGGTCGTGTTGATGATGATGGTCAGTCTGACTCTTTTCATGATGACGTTACCGATCGTGGTGATGTATGGCTTGGCGATAGTGACGAAAGCCGCGGCCATGGCCTTCGTGGTGGTGACGGTGCTGATGCTTATGACTCTTAAATAATGACTATTACAATCTCGATGAATGTACATGTGATGGTTACGAGAATGAAGATGCTGTTGTGGATGGTGATCAGGATGACGAAAAAGCAGGGTAGAATGATGGTGACAGTTGCTGCGGAGGTTGGGGCAGTTCTGAGGGAGATGCGAGTGGTGCTTGCGCTGGCAAGCGTTCTCGGCTTAGCACCATCCCTTGCACACAAACATGGAACTCAACTGGCCCTCATCCAACACCAAACTGATAAACCCTAAACCCTCGCAGCTTTACTGTAAGGGCTCAGGACTTCAGGCACCCTAGACGAGAATTGTCCGACCTTGTGGAGAAGCCACTAGAGGATCATGGGGTTTCGTAACTAGGGTTGAAAATATGGTAACTATAAAATTTTAAGTACCTATCACTCCAATCTTACTAAGTGCCATAAACCTTCAAGCAACACATACCCTGAAAGAATCACAAAGCCCATGAGAAGCCAGCATGACGCAGCAGGCACTTGCTATGCTACAACTTGATGTGCTTGAGAGTACCTGACGTCCTCGGCGTGGCTGCCAAGATCTCTGTGTTTAGGGCAGGAGAGCCACGGTTTAGGGTTTAGGGTGTAGGGTGTAGGGTAGGCAAAACTTAAGCTGTGAAGACCTACTACTCTGAGCCCTTACAGCCTGGCTGGTTTGGTGTCAGATGGTCCCATGCACTTTCTTCCATTCATTCAGGTTCAAACCCTAACCCCCAAAGCCTAGAGCCTAAACCCTAAACCCCAAAGCCTTTGGAGTGCACCGTTACGGTCCGAACAGCTACCGAAAAAACCCCAAAGCCTGTAAACCCCAGGCTCTCTGAGACCCCTATAAGCCCAACTTGTGGTCTCCCAAGTCCTGAAGCCCCCAACTTGGTCTGATGCGCGAAAACAACCTTCGGGGAGATGTTAGATCTTCCCTTCTCTTTGCGAGATATAAAGAATCTTATCTACGACGTTTTGAATGGCCTTAGAGGGTCAACCTCGTTATCTTTGGAGCCCAAAGATATACGGATTGAGATTTCGGATATTGGAGAGGCAAGGGTGCCTGACAACGTTAACAGGAACTCCGTTTGGTCTGCCTGCTACTTTGAGACATTCGATTTTCAACTGATTTTTCCCCACACTTGGGCCAGCACGGCCAGTATTATGTCCAAATCAGACGGTAAGTGGAAACTTGTCTGCTGTACCCTTTAAGAAGCGCTACGGGTCCATGTGCCCAGATAGTAGATAGTTTTTCCTCTGGCCCGGACTAACTAGGAGAGGGTTTCTTAAGCATCCGTGTCCGACTTAGGGCTTGTTGCCGGTTGTGCATTGGAGTCTCTTGTGTTCTGATTCTTGATTGATTGCTTATGGCGCTAGTTCTTGAAGGCTCAAGCAAGCACGGTTGTAATTAGTGCTCCCATGCCGAGCTAGACCAAGCTACGCTGCAGACTCTCCCTCTCGGTACCTTGTGTTGCAGGCTGGATGGGAAATGGTCGGCAGTGTAGCGTGGTTTCGTCGAACTCGCTTCATGAGTAGAATGCAAACTGATATTCACGTTCACCGAATCTGCATTCCTCCACCCTCATCGGAATTCTCACTACCTTTATCTTGTTGTATTTCACGTTCTCTGTTCCCTTGTATATTTCTCTTCCGTGTAGTGCAACTTTCTTTTTCTGTTTCTCTTTGTGCTCTATGTCTCTCTCCAATGGCGAAGAGCCTCCGACCTTGCGACTCTGTTGTGCTGCAGGCTTAGCCATGTCGAATACTGCTGTTCTCATACCGCTACACCGCTAAACAAGTAGGATCCGGCAGCCCAAACCACAGCCGAACGTGTCTGGTAGTACAGCTGCAACACCAGGACGGCAACTGCAGCTAGCACACCAGACCAGGCATGTTAAGTGCATGTTAAAGTTAATTTATTCATGGCTTTCGGACTGGAACCGAAGCCAGGACCTAGCTGCAGTACTTCCGGCAGTTCAAGAGTAGTAGCCCAGGATTGTCCAAGTAGTTGTGTGTCCGATTCTTGGCAGGTTTGGTCCCCGTGCAGGCCACAGAGTGGCATCGCCGTGGCGCCGCAGCAGAGATCCAGGATGTCAGCGAACATCCGGGCAGAAGGCGGGAAGCGAATCAACTTCCAACTGTGCTTCCCTCGGCATACCTTTGCTCGCATTATAGGAGCCTTATAGAAGGTCTATATACCTTATAGAAGCCTTATAGAAGCCCTGTATACCCTAAACGCCCCACCTGTAGTTTCCTTTAACTAAACCCTGAGGCCCCCCAAGCCTTACAGAATCCCTAAACCTCTACACCCTAAACCCCTAAACCCCTTATCAACCAGTTGATCTTGCCAGATGCTCCTTCCTCGGGTTTAGGGGTTGGGGTTACGGGTTTAAGGGTTAGCGTTTGGGGTGTGGGGTTGTGTTGTCTAGACTATGGGAGCAGACTGGCCCCGATGACACAGACATGTGATCGTGCCACAACAAGACAGACCACTTGTAATGCTATGCAACCAGGCCATCAAAAATCCTAAACCCTAAGCCCTCAACCAGAATTCCACGCGAAGGAATGCAGCATACAGAGATCGAGCCAACAGCAGAGAGACAGACAAAAATGCATGAAATGAAAAACCAGTTATTTACACGTGTGTAGTCAGAGCCTCTTTGATAACGCATCAGATGCAACCTAAACCCTAAACCCTAAACCCTATTTCATAAGACTCTTGCGGAGACCCTGAGGCCAGGACCGAATCCACTCCGCAGTCGGGTCTCAGATGATCCCCTGTACTGCCATGTGAGGAGTTATCTAAACTAGGGTAACTAGGGTCCCTTTTTAGGGTCCTTTTTTATATAAGGGTGCCGTACTATATTGGGGACCTGAAAAGGGACCCTAGTTTAGAGAATTATCCATGTGGGTGTAATCGGCTCCCCGTGGTTCAGCATCACCGCCATCCCCCCATGTCGGCTGCTGGTAGGTCCCTCTTTTTAACTCATGTCCCAGATAGGTTTTCGCTTGGCAGACCCTATAAACCGAAAGCCCTAAACCCCTACCCTAAACCCTAAACCCTAAACTCTAAACCCTACCCTAAACCCGAAACCCAAAAGTTCTAAAGTCCCTAAGCCCTGGTTGAGCTAAGTTCGAACCCGCAAGGCCCTAAACCTTCATGCCCCTTCGCTCCCTGACTACTCCCTGACTACAGTCGTGTGCAGTCTGATACTTTAAGCCCTATTAAAGCCATCTTCTTACATTCAAGATGCAGGAGTTTAAATAAGGTGTAATTCTGTCAGGGTTTAGGGACAAGACCTGTTGGACCCTTCTACTGAGTTGTTACCCAAGCTCAGCTCAATTTGCCTCATTCAAGCCCTAAGCTTACAGAAGCATAATTACACGGTTACACAACCCTATTTTCGGCAAGACCGCGGCAGGTACCGACGACCAGAAAGATTTGACGGTCTTCGCAGGTGTCCAGTGCACCTCTCCTGCGGAAGAAAAGATGATGAAGCCTGGAAGGGCAGGTCGTGCATCTTTCCAGGAGCATGACGTGCTGCTGAGAGGCCCTCAGCCAGTTTTATCGCAAAGGCACCATCGGTCGTTCTCCTTCGAGACTTCTCAGTCTTCAAACCTTTCAGCTTCGTGGGGCAGCTCTACGTCTGAGACGAGACGAGGGGCATGGCCACTGCAACCTGGCCCGGTGGCATCACAAACGCTGGGGTCCCGCGTCTCGGACAGTATGGGAATTCTGGAGAACGCTGAGAGGCTCCAGCCGGTTTGTCCAAAGGCTCCAGAGAATGCTGGGTTTGTGACTCTACGAATCACTCCTCAGCACTTCAGCCCACTGGGGACCACTTTCCGGGATGTCCAAGTTGGCTTTCATTCGAACAGCTTCGTTGTCAGAGCCGTTGATTACGAAGGATATGCTTGGACGGCTTCTTCAAGCAGCCTTCCGGGAGGCCTTGTTGTGGACTGCTGCAAGTTCAAGATCGATCCGACTGGCAAGGATGTGACTATCCATCTCTGCAAGGCAGATAGGGATCCGAAGTGGTGGAGCGTGACCTGCCTAGAGCTAAAGCGGCCTTATAGCCAGCACGAAAGGCCACCTTTTCCCAGGCAGGACAAGGCTTCGCAGCCACGTAGTCAGAAGCCCTTGAGAGCAACACTCCAGTTGCATCGCGTTCTTTGAATGATTCTGTGCTCCGTCCTTGACTTTCATGTAAGCTGCTGTGCTTCTGGCCGGCACCGCAGGGTCAACGACTGGAAGCCTGTACCTTTTGTCTTGACTGTTTTGTTTTAAGCCTTGGACGACGTGATCTCCGGCTATGCTGCAAGCCTCATTTCAGCATTTCATCAGGGTAGAAGTATCGTATGATCGTTTTTCACCACCGCCGCCACAACCACCGCCACCACCACGACGACAACGATTACTAGTGCTACTAGCAGTAGTAGTAGTAGTAGTAGTAGTAGTAGTAGTTTTAGCTTTCCACGCAGCGAAAGAGTCCGCCAAGCGTCGGGTTGGAGCAGGCATTCGATGCCCGGAGCCATAGGCTCATGACTTGTGTCATCTCGTAAAGAGGCAACAGCACACACCGCTCCGAAGAGCCTTAAGCATGCATGCTGCTCGGTACGCTTTGATTGCCAAGAGTGGCATCCTTCAGGACATAAAACAGCGCATAACAAGTACGATGCTGTTTCTGAGTAACATTCTGTCGCCACTTGGCTTTCCGCTCGTCATCACAACCCCAGTAGCCATCCTGCACAAGACAAGCAGTGTAGTGACCGGAATGCTGGGTAGCACCATGTTGCTCAATGAAAGCTTGCAACACATATTCTCGATGCTCAACTTGGTGCCTCATTCCCCTGAAAATCGGCATCCTGATGTCGGAGTCAATCTGAACCTGTACATGGGATTTAGTGACACGACCGCCCAGTTGATGGAATCTGTGAAGCTGCAGACACAAAGCTGGGGGAGCAACCACCAGACCATGTATGCGATCCAAACCACATTGCCAATCATCAATTAATGATTGAATCCTCAACTTGCGTTGTTGTCTGCGCTCTGCAGTTGGTAAATGCA